ATTATCTATGAAAACCTTTGTGATTGGTTTTCCAAAAATATGAGCATTAATGTACAGAGGCTTCAAATGAGACGACATGCCTTCTGGAATGTGAGGGAACACTATTGGAGGGACCTCTGATTGAAAATCAGGATCCGCAATTTTTGCCCATTCTGGCTCTTCTATAGACTCATCGACCAGACTTGCCCACAAAGGCTCTTCCTCAATCCAATTAATCTCTGTCATTCGGCAAGGGATACGTGGCCCTAATCGAGATTTGACAGACCTTGAATCTTTCTCTGGAATCTCGGCTCCAACTTCAATTTTGGGTTGAACAGTCAAAGATTCCAAACGAAACTCCTCCAGTGATGGGTTAATGTTAACCTTCTCACAATATTGACACCTGAAACCCTTAACTCTTTCATTAGACAAGCCTTTACCCTTCTTTTGCATGGACCGACCTCCCTCATTGTAATTACCAATGTCCCGTATGCTGGTCGGTTGCTTTGATGAGGCAGCCCCGATGAGCAGACCTTCCTCTGCCTCATTCGGCTGCTCAAACGAAACGACCCTGATGGACCAACCTCCCTTTGAATACTTAACAGCGCCTCGGGTGTCATTCGGTTGCTTTGATGAGGCGACCTTGTCTTTGTATCTCACAGCATACCTGCGTTTGGCATTCCGAATCTGAGTACGATTCATGCCTGAGAAACGAGGATCCACATCAATCGGTAAAGGTTTCTTATTTCGAGTCCATTTGCTTCCGACCGCACCCGTCCTCTTGGTCGGGTGGTCTCGAACTAAAGCCTGGTCTTTTAATTCCACATTAAAAGAACCATCTTGGTTGTTCCATTTTTCAGCCACTGTTTTTTCACAGACCTTGAGTTTCTCCTCTGGTCGGCCATTGTTTGATGAATTCCCTTTCTCTTTTCTGGAAGCTGCTTGTATATTAACCATTGTTGTGGTTACTTTTGGAAATGGTTGCTGCTCCACCCCCAAAGTGATATATTTGAGCCGACCTGCCTTAATAGCCTTTTGGATCTCATTTCGAAAATGAGTGCATTGACTTGTATTATGCGTGAAGGAATTATGCCACTTACAATATGGTCTCCCTTTAATTTCTTCCTTGGTAGCCAACCTCTGCCCCTTTGGAATTCAGATTTGACCATCAGTTAGCAGAATGTCAAATATCTCAACGGCCTTGGAACTGTCAAAGGTCGGTTGCCCTTTAGCTTCTGTTCCTGGTGCTGGCTTTAACTTAGAGCATACATAAGGCTTTCCTGAAATTATTTCGGCCGTCATCTCTTTTGTTTGATCATAATCAAAGTTGTATACCTCTGTTTCCATACTAGCCATATGTTGGCCCTTATTACGCCTGAAATTTTGATCCCTTTCCCTGAAAAGAGATTCTAAACGTCCAGCCTTGGATGCAAGACTTGCCAAATCCTCGACATCATGTGCAGTGAGCGCATCCCTCAGGCGACCATGCATGTTTCGGACCACTAAGTTGGTCATCTTTTTCTCATTGATTATTGTAGGACACCGTCCTTTCATCAATCGCACCCTTTCAATAAACTGTGACGCTGATTCTTCTTGATATTGTTTCATTTCCAATAAGTAAGTCAAAGAAACCATTGGCAAGGGATTGAAAAATCTGGCATGAAATGCCATCTCCAGACCTTCCCAAGTTTGTATCTGCCCAGGTGGAAGACTTACAAACCATGAAAAAGCAGTCCTAGTTAGGGACAATCTGAACAGTTGTAACTTGTAAAAAGGATTGTTACCAATTTCTCCTAACTGTGCTGTAAAACGCTCCACATGCTCTATAGTGGAGGACCCATCCTCTCCAGAAAAAGCATGAAATCTGATGGCCTGTAATTCCTTGGGAGAGGATATTCGTTAATAATCTTTTCTGGAAACGGTCTCTGATAAGTAGGTCGGTTGGCCATCTGAGGATTTAGACCAAACTGAACCCTCAAAACGTGAGCAATTTCATCATCCAAACGAAAATGTTGATGATCAAGAACATCGATGGGATTTTGCGCAGGAATAAGAATAGGATCCTGCACATGTCCCTCTGGCCTTTCCTCTCTTGTAATGTTCGGTTGAACATTTTCAACCCTTGGTCCTAAATGAATATTATTTGGGAAAGTCAGAGGAGTTTTCCCCTATCCGTTCGGTTGAATGTTGTGGCGCTTGGAAATGTGTTGTCCACATATGATGGCCCTGCAAAATTTGCTTCCATTCTTGATGGTGACACCCCTGGCGGCGTCTAGGTGGGTTGAAGAGTAACCCTTGATAATAATTGATCTAACATGTTCTGCATAAGATTTTGTTGTTCGCTCAACATGATGTTCTGTTGCTCGCGCAACATGTTCTACATCACTGAAGTATGCTGATTGTTCACTTGTTGAACATACGACAACCAATCGGTAGGTGGTTGGGGGATCTCCCCTGGATTTGGCATGACTGGTGGTGAAACATTTTCTCCCACCGGTGCTGATGATGATTGAGGTTGTGTGCCTGCCATATTGATTTTTCTGATGATTCGGCCAGACCTCAGTCGTATGAAACTTTTTGTTGATGTAGGATCAGCAATCTTGCCTTTCTCCCACTGTGGTCGCCAATTTGTTGATGTATTTTTTCAACAAACAAAAGTAAAATTCAAAGATATGGAAAATATCCTTAAACTTGATTAATTAGCGTCTGAGATTAGGAATCTCTAAACATTGTACGGTACATAAAGAAATTAACTGGAAATTAAAATGCTGAAAATTTAAAGTGGTGATCCCCAAATCTGACTTTGCTTTGTTGAAGTTGATTGAAGATAATTTCTCCAAAAAAATTCAAATTCTTAAATATCCCTTGAGAAACAGTAGTGGAAACCGTCGCCCGAACGGTTACAACGTCTCTTTTTCAACCCTCTGCTAACCCTTCTCTTGTTGACACGTGCCCTCAACCGACCAAAGTATCATTCTTACTTACTCTCAACAGTATCCGCCTCTTTGGACCGACCGCAGACCTTTCGCCCTTTTGGCCCGAACGTAACTCTTCTACCTTATTGGTCCGACCACCAACCCCCCGATTTGCAGACCACCCGACTTGTTTGGTCCAGCCGCAGACCTCCCGACTTAAAGACCAAGCCGACTTATTGGTCCAGCCGCAGACCTCCCGACCTAAAGACCATCCGACTTATTGGTCCAGCTGCAGACCTCCCGACCTAAAGACCATTCGACTTGCAGACTTTCCATCTTGAGGACTTTCTGACCTGCGGACCTCCCGACCTGAGGACCTTCCGACCTGCAGTCCTCCCGACCTGAGGACCTTCCTACCTGCGGACTTTCCATCTTGAGGACTTTCCGACCCGAGGACTTTCCGACCTACGGACCTCCCGTCCTGAGGACTTTCCGACCTGCGGACCTCCCGACCTGAGGACCTTTCGACCTGCGGACTTCCCGACCCGAAGACCTTCCGACCTGCGGACCTTCCGACCCGCTATTTCCTTAAAGATATATCTATTTTTCATGAGTTTCCCACGGTGCCCCTCGGCCAGTTCGATCAACTCGATTGCTAGGCCCATTTTTCTTTTTACCTTGGGCTTTTTAACCTAATTCTAAATTTTATACGTAACAATTCCAATGGAGAATACAATGTGGCGTTTTCCACTCCTGTTGAGAGAAATTATCTATTGTCTTAGATCATCAACAACAAAATTATTTTCTCCAGGATACTAAACGTTTCTCTTGATGCCTTGCATGAATCAATTTTCCTTCTCGTGCATCTAATAGATTTCTTTTTTTTTTTTTTTTTTTTTTTTTTTTTTTTTTTTGTCTTGTGGCCGAACACATAATGTCGACCAACTGCCTAGTAATCTTATAGGTGAAATCCAATCCTAGTCTTGGTAGATTGATAGACATCCTCCCTGATCATGGCGGCTACAAATTCAACCAAAGATAATTTTTCTTCCTTAAAAAGTGTATCTTTCATTATAGTAAAAAATCTCGTGTAAATTCCCTTTCTTGAAGATCTTCGGTCTAGAAACTTGATTGGATTGAGTTTTTAATTAATAATATTTTATATTATGAAATATTTAACATTTTAATTATTACTTCTCCGGCGTGCCACAAGTACTCATTTTCTTTTTGGTCCATCTCACAATTTTTTTTTTTTTTATAAATTTATCAAATTTAATTAAATTTCTAACATCTTAATAAGAGTCACTCGTATAATGTAAGTTGAAAAGAAGATATTTATTATGTTATGTAGGTAGTACAATTACTAAATTAAAAAATTGTAACTTTGTTTTGGAACCGACGAAAATAGAAAATGGTAACCTTTCCATGGACGGAGGAAATATATTTTATTGAGATATAATACTAAAAGTATTTAAAATGTCAATAACATTGCTCATATAAAAATAATAGGTTAAATTATATAACACCCTTCAGTAAAAATGCACAAAACACCTGTGTTTTATTTATTGTCTGTGTTAATGTAAAATTTGCATGAAACATCTCCCTTGTCCAAAAGTGATTGTTTGGTTCTAAATAAATACTTAAATTATACAAATTTTATACAAATAAAAAAATATAAAATATCTTAAATAATTTTTTTGATAAAATAAATAAATAAATAATTGATTAATCCTTCAAATCAAAACACAAAACCCAAAACAAACAAACTATTATACATTTTCACTGATTAATAAAATATTACTCCAACAAATCATTATACATTTTCACTAATTAATAAAATATTACCCCTTTGGATGAGAATGGAAGGAATATTATAAATCGATTTTATATCCAAAAACATGACATCAATGCTTATCTTACCATTCAAATTCTAATTTTTTTTTTTTTTGTTCAAAACTTAAACACAAAATACAAACTGCAGCCAAACACAATTATTTTTTATTTTTTATATTATACTAAAATTAATTTTACATTCCAATCATCATACAACTATTCATATACAAATTTTTTACTATTAAATCCAAACTCAAAACTAAAACAGCCAAACCACCACACCAATTTAATGTTTTTACTATTCCACAATATGCCAAAATACCGAAACACACTGTAATGCAACCAAACGATCAAATTAATTTTCATTTTGATAACTAGTTTCACTTATATTTTAATTCACGTTTAGTCTATATTCATATTTTAATGAAATTATTTATAATTAAAATTCGATGATTTATAACCATCCTTGAATTAATTTATAGCATTTTGGAATGGCTAATATTATGACAACACCATATCAACAACGCATATATAAAGTTTGCACATTAACATAGACCCGTATACCCATCATCACCTCTGCTGCTTATTGCTGCATCATCCTCTATCTCCTCAAAAACATGATGATGATGATGATGATGATGATGATGAAAGAGGTTGATAATATGATTTGATAAGGTAAGATAGATACAGCAAACCTTGCTATGGTCCTGAGAGTATATTGGTGATGTTACTCTGCAGCAGTGCCACGGATTCCACAGCAGTCTTGGTTAGCCAACTGATCCCCACTTTGATGCGGTGCTCATCCGTGGGTAGTCGGATTAGGTAAGCTAGTTTCCTTGCTGACATACATACATACATTCATACATTCAAAGTCAGGAATGAGCAGGCAGATCAAACTGAACTAACTGCAACGACTTGGATGATGATACCTGAGTGACCAATTTGACCTTCCAGCGTTAGGCCGTCGATGAAACTTGGTGAAATAGCTCCATCGTATCTGCCTAGAGTCATCATCTCACCTAAATTTTGAAACCTGCACTTACCAATTTCACATGTGTATAACTTGTATAGATATTGAAAAACTAAAAAGTTAGTTGCTAGTCCCAAGTAACATGGATCCACCAAAATCACACTTTAGTAAAGCATAAAAGCTTTATCTCCAGTCATTTTTCTTGTTGCTTAAATATGAAAGAACTCAGAATATCATGTCAAACCTAAATGGCAGTAGTGGTCGGTTATTTATTGCAGCCCACAGATTCCAGCCAGCAAAATCAGCCTGCTGAAAAGCTACCTGATAGAATATGAAAAGCATATTAAGGCCAGTCAGATGATGTATCAGTGTAGTAACTGAGCAAGGGCAAAATGTATATTTGAACAAAGAGTAGGATAATAATATACAGTTGAATACATGTATGCATATATTCATTATTCACACACACAAACACGTCCACTTAGTTCCAACATACGGTCCATACAGTATTATCTATACACGTATAAAGACAACGATGAAACAGCACCTGAGCAGAGTCTGGAAGCAATTTTCCACTTTTGTCTCTCACAGCAGCAGAGTCACCAACTGCAAATACACGTGGATGACCCTTAACTCGAAGAGTTTCATCTGTTTCTACCTGTCCCCTACCATTAAGGGGAAGATAAATGGGTTTATCAACTTGTTCTAGCTCAGAAAGTAGAGACTTAGACCCAACAGTCCATAAAACTAGATCTGCTTCCACAATTTTTTTTTCCATGCTCCTCTCAGACGGCTGCAGCTCTAATATATACTTCTTCTGATTATCAACTTCCGCCCTTATGCAGCGCACAAAATAACCAAGCAAAAGCTGAACATTCCTTGATGAGAGAATCTGCCAGAGCCAGACAAATAAATAAATTAATAAAACAGAAAAGAAAATAAGGCAAGTAATAGCCCCAAGAACTTATTTTTTAAAAAATGAAGGGAACCAGTTCATACACGTACTACTTCCGCAGAAAGTAACATAATATGTAGAATAAATATTATAGATGATAGATTGTTAGATTCATGTTATTGTCAATATCTAAATCTATAAATTCACATGTTTCATATCCATAGCAATGCTATTCTTACTTTCAATGCACTCTCCCTATTGCCAGGTGGGGCATTCGGTAGGATTGTTTTGTCCACATTGATTGCTTGTACGACTCCACGTGCTTTCAGTCTTTCTGATATTGTTGCAGCCAACTCAATTCCAGAGTAACCACATCCTACAACAGCAATGTCAATCCGATTGTCTCTACCAAAGTACTCCCTCTCAAGTAACCTTAGCTTCTCATCAACTCTCTTCATTGAACAAATGCCAACAATTAGAGAAGATAGTAAAGCATATCCTATAGAATTTGGAAATACTTAACAAATTAAAACTCATTAGCAGCAGTTCAAATACTAACATGAGCATCCTCAAGGGTGGAGAATGGTAATGCATGTTCCATTGCACCTGGCACAACATCAAGTTTGGGTTCAGCTCCCAAAGCAAGCACCAACCTGGCTGCCCAGATTAATAAGCACGTTATTAGTAAAATTATTAAAAGAAAGTGAAGCACTCTAGTCCAAACAAAAGTGAGGTCCCTGTCCGTTGTCAATCATATAAGTGATGAATTTTAACCCATGCCACTGCCAAAATATTAGAGAACAAGAAGAATGCTGCAAAATTTGCATCAGAAGAGATTTGGAAGCATAACAAATATAATCAAATGTGTAAGCAGTGCTAATAATATCATATTTCACATAGTTAAGAGCCGCTGCAAAATCTAATAAATAGTCCATCCAAGAATTTCACAAGACTAAAGAGTGCAGATGAGCAAATTCACAACCAAACATATTGTTGATGTGTGGACTTCAACAAAAAATAAAGTAGAATTCGAAAATATATTTCGAACTTGATAAAGTGTAGCTGATAATTGGATCCCAATGCACTGAACTAGGTTACACTCAAATCAGTAAAAAGTAAATATTAAAGAGGAAATTCCTCGCATGATGCTATTCATTGTTCACGATGCCCCGATAAACCCTAGATTAAGAGTATTTATTTTGTTTTCAGTAACTGTTCGGACGGATTCACTTCGGTCACTTGATCGTAGGATAACCGCTTGATGGTTAGGCCCCGAGGAACTCAACCACCCCAGTCGGGTGGTTGAAACTGTCCTGACGTGCCCAAACTGGCTTTCTGGAATATAGTAGCCGAACTGTTATAGTGTCCGACTTACTACGCTCTCGAATCAAAACTTCGCTGGGCTACCGGCCCACCTAATCTGAATCAATATTGTAATATCCTGTAAAATAATCGCTAGGGTTCGACGCCGGAGTTGGACAATATTATTTTGGGTCTAATTTTATTTTGTATTTTTGGTGTAAAAAATTAAAGAATTTGATTAAAATCAGGACTAGAATTGATATTGGACCATTTTGGGCCCAAATAGGATAAAATAAATAATAAAGATCCAAATCTTTAATGTTAAAAAAAAAAAGAAAACAGCCAGCAGACATGCAGCCAGCGCCTCCTCTTCTTCTTCCTTCTCCAAAACTCTTCTCCTGTTGGATTTTTTTCTCTTTAAGGTAAATGAGATTAATCTTTGATAGATGATACGTTCCCTTCTATTGATATTTTTCAAAAATTATTTTCAATTAGGTTTGCCCTAAAAGTGCTAGGTTTTGCTAATTTGTTCGAGAAAGTTGATTATAATGTCCCATATGGCTTATGTGAAGATTATTAAAGTATTCTAAGTTGACAATCGTAGAATTTGTGGAATTTGTATGAAACCCTAATTTTGCCCTAACATAGTTATGGTTTTTTTTGGGAAAAGATTTATTATTATGTTTAAATATTATGATTTTTGAATTAGATTATGCCTAAAATATTATTCAAATCGAAATAAAGTTAGATTATAAAAAAGTTTTTGGATTTTTAATATTCCACTTTTTGGTTGGTTAAATTTTGACAATTGGAATGTTTGAGTTTAAAGCTCTCTTTTTAAAATTTGCCTAATAGTATATTCAGTATTGAGTCAAATTGGTAATTGAAACTACCCGTCGAATCCTATCAACTCGTTGATTGTTTGGATGATAAGACATAACTTTCCGTGCCTTTCAAACACGTGAGGGTATACCGGTATTTTAGGATAAATAGCTAACGTCGAACTATAACTCGAATGGGCTAGGCCGAGGGATCGAAATGGCAGGTTCCTTTTTTGGGTAATTTCGAGGTGCCCATCATTCACGATGAAAGGTCTTTAGACCGTCGTACGTGATGGAGGGATGGATTGCGTACAATCCCCTCTTAGAATGTTATATTGGAGACTAGAGGGTTGTGGGCTGTTTCGCGCCCCTCGCAAACTAATAAATAAATTGACTTACGTGTAATTTGGACTTGAACACTTAGATACATATTGTGGAGCTTTCCTTGAGGGTTGTGACCCTATGCTTGTTTTGTATAGCTATGTGACGTGTCATACGAAATAATAAGGTTGAAAAACCGGGTCGAGCCGACCCTAATTAAGCCTTAGTGGAGTTTTTTTCGTGATGTGCTCATCACTATTATTTGAGAATGAAAATGAGATATAAGAGAGGCGCTAAAAGACTCGTGTGTGAGTTATCCTTATATGATACGTATCATCTTATTCAAATTATCTTCTTCAAATAATTTTGTGGCATTATACCGTATTAGTTTATCTTCGATTAATTGAGTTTACTCAACCGTTGTGTTGACCCTCTTCTTACAACCTTTTTGTAGGTGATGATGCTTATGTTATACCTAAATGATGCATCCACGTCATATGATCCATCAGGGGAACTATAACTACTTTATCTTCTAAAATGCTTTTGAAATTCATTAATTATGTTTAAAAACTAATACCTTTTGAACTATTTTAATTATGTTTTTACTCAAACTTTACTTATTTAATTGGTAAGCCGGTGCGCTCTAAGTCAAATATCATTTCCTTTTCAGAGCTAAAAGTACCTTTAGCTTTCTTTTTCAAGTACCTTTAAGATTTGATATAAATGTTTTTTTTGTCTATATTATAATAAAAAAGAAGTACATTTTATAAGTTAAAGTTAGATATCAATTATTTACGTGTTAAAAAATAATTCAATAAGCTACAATAGCGGTATAGCATAACGTAGCGGAGTGTCGCTATATGCCGCTACACTGAAGAATTGCGGAGCGGCCGTAACAGCAAAGTGCCTTTCTGCTACGCTACGTCGCTATTGCGTGCTATTGACAACTATGTTATTTAGTTGTTTGTATTTATTATTTTAGCCTTAGCGCCACAACGTATGGCTAGTTGGTAGATGAACGAGTCTTCCGGTGTAGCGTGGCGATGACGTTCTAGTTTGAGCCGACTGGGGTGTTACAGTTGGTATCAGAGCCTAGGTTGAAGACTCATGTTTCTTGGTTAATAAAACTTGAAAGATTTCAGAATTTCTAAACTCAATTAGATCATGGGTTTAGTCGGGTTTGGGTGCATTCATTGCATTCTAAGTTTATTCCATGTGTTTATGTGCATTGATTATGCTATTTGATTAGTTAGAGCTTATTAGGTCTAGTCTCGATTAGCAAGATGCCCCCTAAGCGTGCTGATCAGCCCCCCGTGGCACCCGAGTACGATGAAAAGGTTGAGAGTATGCAACCCTAAAACCCTGAGCCTCCAGTTCAGAGTCCCGTTCGACCTTCAAACCCGACATTGGAGATCTTACGTCAGTTTATGGGACAGTTCGCTCAGCAGCTCCGGAGTGCTATGAATGCAGTATTACGTCATAGTCCTCTGACTTTCACTGGTCAATTGGACCCGACTAGTTTGGGAGAATGATTGGATCGTTTTGAGACGATATTTGAGGTGGTGAAATGCCCAGGAAGTATCGGCCAGGAAGTGGTGGACTAATGAGAAGGCTTCCGGGAGCAACTTGTTTGGATTACCGTGGGAGGCCTTTAAAGGGATGATAAGGTCGTGTTTTTATCCCTGCACATTCAGAGAGCAGAGGATGATGAGTTTAGTGCCTTGGTGCAAGGTAATATGACGGTGGAAGAATACTTCACGCGTTTTAATGAATTGGCTGCCCACGCTCCAGATTTCGCAGTGAATGATCGGTGCAAGTTGACGAGATTTGTTGGTGGGCTGAATCGAGACATTCAGCGGTTTTTAGCCGGCTTTAGTGTGTCGACCCTTCAGGAGGCATACGAGAAGTCATTGGTGGGCTGAATCGAGACTTTCAGCAGTTCTTAGCCGGCTTTAATGTGTCGACCCTTCAAGAGGCATACGAAAATGCAGCTAACATCTATCGGGAAAATTGAATATCGTATGATGAGCGGAGGGATGGAGTCCGCACGGCAGATAGAGAAAAAGAGAAGGTGAGTGAGGATTTGACGAACCATAAACGAAAGGATGAAGCAGAGAGGTTCTCGGGTACGCCCTATGCATCTTGCCCTAAATTCACTCATGGAAATTTCAGTGGCAATTATGGTGGTTTGGCTGTTTGTAGCCGATGTGGAAAACCTCATCCGGGAGTTCGTTGTGATGGCCAGCCCGTCACTTGCTATTACTGCCATGAGCCGGGACATATCAAGAGGTTTTGTCCCAAGTTAGTTGGAGCTCTGAATGCGATTGAGAGGGCTCCGGTTCCGCAGCAGCAAGGTCGTACGCCGCCAGTGGCACCTCAGCGAGCGAAAGGAGGAATGAGTGACCAGAGAGGTCACATCAATGTCATGACAAGAGGGCAAACTGTGGAGAACCATGGAGACGTTCTGACTAATACGTTCTTGGTGAATTCTTTAGATGTGGTTATCCTCTTTGATTCTAATGCACCCCTTTCTTTCATATCTAGTAAATGTGCTAAGAAGTTAGAACTAGATATTTAGATTCTCGAGTAGAGGTTTCGATAGAGACTAGGCTACCTTCAGGACAACTAGTGCCTTGTAATTGTCTTATCGTAAGGCTGTTTGTCATATGATCGGAGATATAGAATTTCCTACTAATTTTTTTAAGCTTAAATTGGCGGAGTTGTTTGAGGTAGCTCCAGGCATGAAGATCGATTTCGAAGACGAAAAATGTCCTAAGGGGGGAAGGATGTAATACCCTAAAAAATAATCGCCGGAGCTCGCCGGGGTTCGACGCCGGAGTCGAATAATATTATTTTTGGCCTAATTTATTTTGGACTTTTAGTGTAAAAAATAAAAGAATTCGATTAGACTTAGGGTTAAAATTAAGTTTGGACCATTTTGGGACCAAATAAGGTAAAATAAATAATAAATGCCTAAGTCTTTAATGTTTAAAAAAAAAAAATAGGAGCAGCCAGCAGACACGCCGCCAGCGCCTCCTCTTTTTCTTCCTTGGAGGTTTTCTTCTCCAAAACTCTTCTCCTCTTAGATTTTTTTCTCTTAAGGTAAGTGCGATTAATCTTAGATAGATTATAAGTTCCCTTCTATTGATATTTTTCAAAATTATTTTCAAATGGGTTTGCCCTAAAAGTGTTATGTTTTGTTAATTTCTTCTAGAAAGTTTATTATAATGGTCCCCTATGGCTTATGTTAATATTATTATAGTATTCTAAGTTGACAATCGTAGAATTTGTAGAATTTGTTTGAAACCCTAGTTTTGCCCTAACCTACTTATGGTTTTTTTTTTTTGAAAAGATTTATTATTATGTTTAAATATTATGATTTTTTAGTTAGATTATGCCTATTGGGATGGACACATTATTCAAATGTTTATTTAGCGAAATAAAGTGAGATTATAATGAACTTGTTGGATTTTTAATATTCTACTTTTTGGTTGGTTAAATGTTAGCAATTGGAATGTTTGAGTTTAAAGCTCTCTTTTTAAAATTTGTCTACTAGCATGTTGAGTATTGAGTCAAATTGGTAACTGAAACTACTCGTCGAGTCCGATCAACTCGTCGATTGTTTGGATAATACACATAGTCTTTCCACCTCTATGCCTTGCAAGCACGTGAGGGTATATCGGTATTTTAGGATAACTAGCTAACCTCGAACTAGAATCCGAATGGGCTAGGCCGAGGGATCGAGATGGCGGATTCCCTTTTTCGGTGATTTCGAGATGCCCGTCATTCACGATGAAAAGGTCTTTAGACCGTCGTGACGTGTATTTTGGGCTTCGAACCCTTAGATACACATTGTGGAGCTTTCCTTGAGGTTTGTGACCCTATGCTTGTTATGTGTAACTATGTGACGTTTCATACGAAGTAATAAGGTTAGAAAACCGGGTCGAGCCGGCCCTAATTAAGGCTTAGTGGAATTTTCTTCGTGATAAATTTATCACCATTATTTGAGAATAAAAATGAGATATAAGAGAGGCGCTAAAAAACTCATGTGTGTGAGTTATCCTTATGTGATACGTGTCATCTTATTCAAATGATTTTGTGATATTATACCGTATTAATTTATATTCGATTAAGTGCGTTTACTCAACCGTTGTATTGACCCTCTTTTTACAACTTTTTTGTAGGTAATGATGCTTCTGTTATACCTAAATAATGCATCCACGTCATATGATCCATAGGGGGAACTATAACTACTTTATCTTTTAAAATGCTTTTGAAATTCATTAATTATGTTTAAAGACTAATGCCTTTTTGAACTATTTCCAATTTATATTTTTGACTCGAACTTTACTTATTTAATTGATAAGCCGGTGCGCTTTAATTCAAAATCCCTATTAGTTGTTTATATTTATTATTTTAGGTTTAGCGCCACAATGTAAGGCTAGTTGGTTGATGAACGAGCCTTCCAGTGTGGCGTGGCGGTGACGCTCCGGTTTGAGCCGGCCGGGGTGTTACAAATACTCACTGGGGTACCGACCCACTTAATATTTTGGCAGCGACTCAAACCTTGTGGCCCCATGGGCCCAAACCCTAATTTTGAAACTTTTTTTCGGGGCTCAACACATAAAATAATCTTTATAAAACTTCATCCTAGCATAATCAAGATTAACAATCCTATATTATATGGAATCAAAGGATTCTATCAGTGGAAACCCTACCAATAAGAAGCTTCTAAATTTTCCTTCTATTGTGCTCTTGTTTGGACAACATAAACAAGGATGAGCAGAGGATAAAGGAAAACAAATTACAGGAATCTGGAAATAAGGAGAGTACAGAAATCCGAAAGTTGCAAGTTTGAATGACTTCAATTATGTTTAAAGACCTTTGATGTCTGAACAATCTACAAACAAGTGCACAAATGGTAGAGACTAAGCAGTATCTCAGTTAGTATGTACAAGAGCCCTACTGTTTTATCCATCTAGTTGGTATTCTACATAAATTGGCTATGACTAAAAATCTTCAACCACAAAATAGACAAATCATGGATGGGATAGAATAATTTGGCTCAAATGAGTTACATAAATGTTACCAGTCATATTCAATAGACAAGCCACTGTCAAGGTGCACCATTCCAGCGGATTGTAAATGTGCAACTCCATCCATTCCCAAATGATCAGTGGGATGCAAGGATTGCACCCTATCTTTGAAAAATTGCACACTTGTGTTTGAAAGCAAGTCCAAGAATCGTGGAGCTATTTCCCATTCTTCTACTTCTGCTCTCAGAAAATAAGCATGGAATGGTAAGAAAGTAAAATATGAGTTCGTAAACCAGAGTTGTATCATTAAGATCAAATGATACCTCCAGAGAGGAGCTCATAGAGCAATGGCTTGAAAACAAAACGCTCTTGTTGATCAACAAGAATAACCTGTTGAAATTAAAAACAAAAAAGAAACTGAAAAACGTTTTTAATTTCCTTGCCAACACAAAGCAAAGTAGCAGATATAAAAGACAGTAATTACACATGTTTCCACTCGCCAATGTTTTATTCACAATTACAAGATCCCTTGGCATTAGATTGTGGGGCAGTCAATTTCCCTTGTCACACAACACCACTTTGCCAGATCAGATGGTTTACAGCTCAACATGCCAAAGTGAAAAATATGTCTTTCAAAAGTCCTCACACATGCCTCACATCAAGTCAGAGTTTAGACTTTATACCGTAACCTGTTAGCTAGTAAAAAGCGATCTCACATCCTATCGATTTTAGTTGTCCAATGAAAGTTGGATACTAATAACTGGTGTACTCAGATTCTGAGTTTCAGTCCAACCTAGTGTCGCCGGGGGAGATTACTTTATTATATGCACAATTATTACTCTGGATTACTATGTCATCATGATAATATTCCAAACTGTTGATCGGTCACTTATATTATGAATCTGTCATGCTCAAAGGCAGCACTGTAAGGTGCAGCAAGCTACTGCTGTAGCTTGTGGTTCAGTGGTTGGAGTTTGATTTGAACAATGCATTGTAAAGTTTATTGAAGGAAACAGGTCATGCTGCTTCTAAAGTTCCAATCCTGGTACATATGTTTTAAATTCTCTTAATCAATGCTTACTTGTGGTTTCTTGCCGTCAGGCCAATCTAGTGATTCCAATCTCAATGCAGTATACAGGCCTCCAAAACCACCGCCAAGTATGCATACTCTTGGCCTCTGCAGTCATTAAAAGGATTTATTTCAAGATAAATAGTATTATCAAAACTCACTGGATGAATATAAAAAAGATATTAGCTCTAAGTTTTAAAATTACGTCAAGAACTAAGACAAACACATAGCCCTTGAAGCACAAATCCAACTAATTGTATTAGCATATGCACACCACCATACTCACACAAGCTTCTTTTCAATACCAGGAAAAGAAATGATTTGAGACATGATTGATATGCTTCAAAAAATTCAAATGAATTATCTCACTAAATTACTGAAAAATGAATTATCAGATTTTATCACGATACCACCCCACCAGCACTACATCAATTAGCATGTAAACATAGGAAAACAAATGATTTAAAGATTGCACATCACTTGAATTTACTTGGAAAAGCAAACACATGCAGGCTTATAAAGCTTAGCATCATTCAAATATCAAACAGTGAATGCAAAGAGAAACTACACAATTACTGCATCTTCCCCCAAAAAATGAAAATAAAAAAATAAAAAAATTCCACAGATATTAACAGTGATCAGGTAGATTATAAGGTAAGCTGATCGTCTTAAGGTAAAAATTACATTCTGGCCTAAAGAATTGAGGAATTTGAACTTTAAGTTTAAGCAATAAACATTTACAAACTGTCAAGTCCAATATCAAAGATCTAACATGAACAGAAGTAGAATATTGTTTATATCTTATTTGATGTGAAGTACATTGTTCCTTCCCAATACATCTATTTCATCAAACAAGTGATGTTGGTGTGAGCATATTGGAAAATGTTCTTACTGTAAACACTATATACAACGATAACTTAATACATCAGGAGTGAAGCAAAGAATGAGCTACCAAAAACCCACCCAACAAAAATTTTATATTCACAGAGAACCATAAACAGAATATGTTTCGAATGAAACTACAACAAGTCACGAACATGACAAATTCTCAACCAAATGATTCAAATTTCACAAACCTCAAACAATAAATCTCAATTGATAAGTTTTCCCATAAACAAATCAACTCATATAATAAAGATAAGAGGAAGCTCAATGAGAGTGAGGATGAAATCAACCTTGTCACTATCAGGCCATGCGAAAGTGGTAGGCAGTGTGTCACTTTCCTTTACTTCGGGATTGCCCCCATACCTCCCGGCAGAGCTCGAAACGAAACCGCGGAGTAGTCCTCGCCTTCCCGAAAAACCCGAAAACTGCCTCGAATCAGTCGCGTGAAGTCTCAAACGCCGGTGGAACAACTTCCGACACTGGAACTGCTCACCTGAAATTCAATTCGGTGGACGAAAATCCCTAGCATATCCTACTCTTTGAAGTGCTTATCACCATGCCTCTCGAAATAATACGTGTGTGAGTGATATACCGTAACTATAACAACAACAAATGAGGACATAAACAATCTTGATCGAGAACGCACCTCTGAAAAATGCTGCCGACGCGAGGGAGGAAGCAGCGCGCGCCATTGCAATTGACGGAGAAGAATTGGGCGGGCGGCGAGTGAAGGAGTACGCGGCGGTCTTGGCTCCACGAGTTCCCTGCTGAACAAAAGGATAGTCAATAGTCCCGTTACGGATGGCGAGCGTGAACGTGGGAGGGTGAGGCTATGGGTTCAAAATCTATGGCCTACAGGTCACCTGCCCACCCATTGCTGCACTCTTTTTATCAAGGTATTAGGTTCAAGGATTTAACCAGCGTGTCGATAGCGGCAAGGATCCTCACTAATAATTTTTTTGAGTTATTTGATTTTTTTTTTTTTTTATAATATATATGGCAGGTTTTAGTTTTAGAACAAGGTCGTGTTGATCCTAATGGAATTTCATATCAATTTTCATATCAATTTTTGTTACATCTACGTTAGTGTTTCTGTTAGTTTTTCTAATAATAGAATTATTGATTATATTGAGATTAAAAGTATTGGAGCCAAATTGATTAATTTTAATAATATTAATAATCTAAATTAATTTTTTTATTTTATTTATTTAGTTATTTAGAAAGAAAATAGAATTTTTATATAAAAAACAGTCAAATAGTCCGTAGAAGCTCGGACTAGCCCATGATAGTAAATATGAGCCTGGCTTCGGGGGTGGGCTTTTAGGTTCCGTTTGGTTTGATGGGAAATGAGGGGAGAAAGCACAAAAATTATAATTACCTCGTTTGATTCTATTTTTTTTAGAGGGATAGGAAAAAGAACGGAGGAGAGGGAAAATAAAATAAACTTAGGAGTTGTTTGGTTCATGAATTTAGCACGATTCCGTAGAATTTAATTTTAAAATCATAATAAATTCATTTTTAGTTACAAAATAAAGAACGAAATTTAAAATGTTAGGGATTTATAAAAGGGGTCTAAAATTCTGCAAATGAAGGACTTTTTAATAATGAAGCACCTATGTTACTTTAAAATCTCATTCTCGTATTATTTTAATTTTTACTTTTATATCCTTCCATCCAATAAAAGAAATTTTATCCTCTTTTCCAGTTTTTTTTCATTCGCAATTCCTGGCGAAAGAGGTCAATATATCTATCCATCGTTTTTTTTTTCTCCTATCTCCATTTTTTTTTCCTGACAAAGAACTTCCGATTACAGGTATAAACTCATTGTTTTCTCTCTATCTCTATTTCTCTTTTTTTGTTATATTCACACGGCCTTTCCTTTTCTTTCTCTCACTACAAAAAAATAATATATTTGTAACGGAATTCCGTCCCTAAAGTTCACGTAACTAACGTAATTTCATTCATAATTCCGTCTCTAATGTCATTAGTAACGGAAAAAGTAGATTTAGAGACAAAAAAGTTTTGTTACAAAAATGATTTTTTCTTGTAGTGTCTCTCTCTTTTTTTTTTAAAGCGCAGTAATACATTTTTTCTAATTTCTCTTCTCCACTTCAGTCGATGCATTTTCTTCTTAGATTCAATTGACGCCACAACATGTATGAATGTTAGAATCTACTTTTGTTTCAGTTTTGCAGATTTTTTTACTGTATTTTTTTTCTTTTTTTATTGTACGTGTTAAAAAATATATTCTTTCCTTGCAACGAACAATTACTTCAATTTACAGACAATACCTTTTTGTAATTTTATTGGTACATTTTTATGGTATCTTATTATGTGTACTTTTATTTTTATTGCAAGATATGTCTCGGTTAAGCACATGCAAACGTAAAGAGGGAAGAATGGAAAATTAGTATTCTTCATTTTATCGAGTTGGGTACTATAGTCTGAAGGAAAAAATACAAATCTAGAATTAGATACCCTCCTCCAAAGATTGATCGATACCCGATATTGTATAGGCTTGCTTATGAGAGTGATACACTAGCCATACCACAAATTAGAATAAACCGGAGGCGTTTTTCAAAATTATATGGGATGCTAGGAACATTATGAAGGTTACGAGAAAGTAGAAATGTTAGTATTGGTGAACAAGTTGCTATTTTTTTTTTTTTTCATATTATTGCACATAATGTGAAGAACCGAACAATAATTAGTAGGTACTTTACTCGTGTTTGTAATGCGGTGTTACGATAATATTCACATTTGCTTAAAAAACCAAAATCGGTTATTGAGAACTCAACCGATTCAAGATGGAAATGGTTTCAGGTATATATATATATATGTACGTATTTATACATTTTCTTTACCGCTATTTGATTTTTTAAAAATAATTAATAACACTTTTTTGTATTAGAATTATATTGGGGCGTTAGATGTGACATACATAAAGTCCTTAGTACCTCTTGAAGACAAACCTAAATATAGAACACGAAAGAATGATATCGCAATAAATGTGTTAGGGGTGTGTTCTCAAGATATGAAATTTATTTATGTATTATCTGGATGGGAATGATCAACAATTGATAGTAGAGTACTTTGGGATGCTCTATTAGACCTTACGGGTTGAAAGTTCCAAGGCCGGGTATGTATTAAATATAATTTTCATAATACAGGTTTAGACGGTGTAATAATTATTATTTATTATTATTAGGTTATTACTTGGTTGATGCTTGCTATACAAATATGGAGGGTTTTCTAGCTTCTTATAGAGGCCACAAATATCATTTGAATGATCGGCATGATGGACACCAACTTACAACAACAAATGAATTTTTCAATATGAAACTTTCATCTGCGAGAAATATTATAGAACGGTGTTTTGGAATCTTGAAAGAAACATGGAAGATTTTAAGTGACAGATCATTTTATCCCATTCAATTAAAAAATAGGATCATTATGGCATATTGTCTTCTCCACAATTTTATAAGACGAGAAATGACAACTGATCAATTGGAAGCTACGTCCACATTAGACGAAGGAATATGAGATGATGGGGATGAAGAAGGGGATAATATAATTTCTATTGATGCTTCAAACGAGTGGACTGCATTTAGAAATAATTTAGCTGAGTCTATTTCAAATTTGGAGGGCTTCCCATTAATCTTGGATTATTGTCTTTATATATAATATATAGATATATATATTATTTGAAATCATTGTTTTTTAGGATATATGTAACTTTAGAGACAATTGTTGTAATAATACTACCTCAAGGCAATGATTATCTTTATCTTGTTTTTGTATAGTACTACCTCTTTTCCTAGTTGTTTTTTTATTCATTTTCTTTAGATATATTTATATTTTTCTTCATATGCAATGCTAACTTGAATATTGTCTTTATGTGTTATTTGAATTATTTAATAATTGTTTCAATTTGTTATATATATATATATATTGTTTGGTATGATTAGTTTAAATATACTAGTGTATATCATAGGTATGACGAGTGAAGGATGACACTATCAAACCTGGAAAAATAGTAAAGAAACAAAACTTGTGGAGGCTTGGTTGAACATGGTCAATGGTGGTCAATATAAAGCTAGCAATGGCTTTAAGACGGGATATCTAGCACATTTGGAACAAGTACTAAAACAAGAACTACCAAATTCAGGATTGTTGGGTAAACTCATATTTGAATTGAAACTAAAAGTTTGAAAAAAGATTGGAAAATTGTACATGATATGCTTAACGGATAGACTACTAGTGGATTTGGCTACGATCTAATTACCCATTGTCTGGTTGCTGAACCTGAGGTTTCGGATGCATATCTTAAGGTAAAATTGTTAAATATTTGTAGTTAGCTATAACGGATTACTATCTAACCATGTGGTATGAAACAAGTGAATAAAAGAGCTAAAAAAATGGCAAAACAAAGTGATTCATTATTGCAAAGAGTTATGCATTGTATTTGGAAAAGAGCAGACTCAGGGAAATGAAACTCGAGACTTTTTTGAGATGGAAAATGAGGCTAACAAGGAAGAAGAAAAACAATAATCTGATGGGGGTTCCTTCAAAGTTGTAGAACTCAGTCAAATTCTGCGTAGTAATTCAAGTGTGCCAAGAAGAGACAACAAAGCCAAAGTAAGAAAAGGAAAACCCGAATTGATCCTATTATTGAAGTATTTCAAGATGCAATTGTAACACCCCCAGTTGGCTCATGCTGAAAATATTACTGTCACACTGCATCATGAGGTCGTCACCTCCTACTTCAAGCCCCACAATACAATGTTAAGACTAAAATTACTATAAAAACACATTATTATATAACATAGTCTGATTTATGAATATTTACAAAAACACGCTCTTAAATAAGAGGTTTTTCCGGTTGAAAATTTACATATAATACAACAGAAGTAAGTTCACTCACTCAACCCGTCTTTCTATATCCCGAGGCATCCTCTGTCCCGGAGGTGCCATGCATACCTAAACCAAATATTTTTCTTAAAAGCAGTATAGAATTAAATCTATTTTAAGAACTAACATGAAATTTATCATGTCATAATTTTTAAAATAAAGTCTAATCTTTGTCAATCACAAACTACGTGTCATGCCATGCCATACCAATAGTGAAATGATGCAACAAAAATATCAAACTCGACAACCATGCACATACACACACATATATATACATTCGTCGAAGTGAGCAGCCGGAATAACCTCGGCTCCATAATAATAAAGCTCATTGCATCGGTCTAAGTGAGCAGCCATAATAACCTCAGCCCCATAATAACAAGCTCACTAGACCATCATCAATAAATAACCAGAAAATCCTTGGCTCAAGGAAGGATCTGATAAACCCATAATAATATAACGGTTATCCGGTCACTTTCATATACCCACCATACGACTCCCACAATCAATACATGGATAGCCGAATGTTTTCGCCATTAACCACAAGACGTCCCATAAGTTGTGATAGCGAAGATAGAACCCTCTTGTTTAGTCCTACCTCGTGTAATATAGTAGAATCCGTGCAACCTAGAATCACCCAAGGGAAACCCGGAAACTCGACTCCTCCTCGCGCGCCCTAACGGGATCACGTTTGGAGTTTGGCATATGATCCTAAACTACCGGTAGATCTCACCATGTGAAAATCTAATAAGTGGAACAACACCTAACACGAATGATTAGACCAAATAAGTCTCAACTACAAAGTGTTACGGTACATCGGGGTCGAATACCTTAACCCCCGATGATGCCCTCACCTAACACTACCGTACATGACGACTAAACAATAGATCCATAAAATATATCCGATAAACTGTGCAATATGTGTGCAGCATGTCAAATAAGTGAATTTACCTAAAAGGGCCGGTGAGACAGGTGACCTATCCTCATTTTCATAAATTTTCACCCACGCGATCAAATAC